CCACTCCCCTGTGTACGTATAACACCGATCTAGAGCTCGGAACTCCTAGGTGCATAGAGATCGATTCGAGTATTGGGATATTGTAGAATAGTGAGAAGGGAAAATCTGAGAGATCAGTAGGGATTCAAAGGGCCAAAGGGAACATGGCTGCTGTCGCATAGCTGAAAGCACCAACCAGTGGCAGTATCCATGAGACTGACCATTGAGGAGGGCCCACCAACTTTTACTTAACAAGCTAAAAACACACCACTTGCAAGAAAACACAACAATCCTTGAGACAAAAAATCAATGCTTAAAATCAAAAACAAGCTCTAACATAACATATATCATATGGTTACTTATTCTATCAGACAGACTGCATATTTCTAGAAGTTAACTTAGAGAGAGCATTTTGCAGGATTGCCACAATGGGGGGAAGACAATATATTTGGTAGGAACAATATTATTTTCTTAGTGGTGCATAAGGATCGATTTAAGTCTTCAGAGTAATTGTACAGTAGCAAGAAGGAAAACCTGAGAGATGGGCATGAAATGGAAGGGTAAATGGGATTACGGTTGTTGTCCGGTAGTAAAATAGCGGGAAACATCAACCAGTGGCAGTATCAACAAGGTCCAACCATCAATGATGATTCACTGCTTGTTCCTCAACAAGCTCCAAACACAAAACTTTCCATGGAAAGAGGTTACAACACTCCTAGTAGAAGAAAATTAAAAAAAGCAATCTTCAAATGCATAAAATCAAAGCCAAAGTGTTCTTACGGGTTTCAATATGGCATCTTTAAACATATAACCCTAAATCTATTTCAAGCAAAGCCAAATGGGGGCCCAGAAGGGCCGGTCTGCCCCTGTAGGTGGGAAAATACTGTAACAGAATGTTCGGGAGGCAGATATCCCTCCACCCATCCCACCTAGGCAAACGTGGAGCAAAATATGCCAAATCAGTGTGTGTGTGTAATGTATATTGATAAAAAAATTGATACAAGACCAAAAAAGATTGAAGTTGATTCCAGAAGTGTAAAGTATCTACAATTTGCAAATTTCAAGCAAAAACAAAACCCCTCACAATGATTAAAGTAAGAACAGATTCAGTAAGAGATGGGGCCACATTTGTCAGCATTGATGTTCCATTCATTCAATAACTTGAGGCACAATGCCATTGACTATTAATGACACAGCATGAGGATAATAGAACAAGTCATTCTTCGAGACGTAAGTTATGCGAAATCTTGAAGTAGGCCTTCTACTATCCTTATGCAAAATTACAACTGCAAATGGTCATAACTATAGGAATATTGTCACAAAGATGAAACTAACCCATATAAAGGTTATAAAACATGTCAAGGCTAACTATCATGATGACTTCAAGCACTATTGCAACAAGTTCAAGTATTCTTTTTCAAAGAAACATTTAATGGAGAGATTTAGAATACCTGAATACTTGAATCACTACTGAACATTCACAATGATCCAAGATTGAAATTCCAAATGTGCAAAACCACTACTTATTGTTTCTTAACTCAATGACATTTAAAAATTTTTTTCCATACAAAAGGCTTTGTTATTAGGAAAGATATACTTAAAGCAAATGGATCCTCGCAAGAGACTGATTGTTGCTGGGGTTGAAATGATTATGCCTAGAAATATATATATATATATATATGGTCCAGCTA